AGTCTTACAGCCCCCCCACCCCCCAGGTCCTCCAGCTTCGCACTCTGGAGGGGGCGGCCTTGGAGCCCGGATCCCACTCCGGCACCGTCGTGGTGCCAGCCGGACGTGATGGGTCAAGAGAGAGGGGCTCTCCGCCCTCGGAACCCCATCCTCGCACCTCGCCCCCGAGGAGAAGGAGGGGCCCCGGCCGGGCGGGGCAGGCCCAGCGTCGGGCGGTGGTCTCCCCGCTGGAGCCGGCGTGGACCACCAGCCTGCCCCCTCGGCGGCGCGGGGGGCTCTCTGGCCCCAGGGGCGAGACTGGCTTTGGCTGAGGTTCTTCAACAGGCTGCCCATTTAGGGCAGGCGGGGAATGGCGAGGAGCCGAGCCGGGTGTGGGGCACATTCTTTCAGGTCAGGGCCCTGCGGTGGTGCTAGGGACGTTGGCACCCAGGCCTTCCCCGCTTAAGCTGTGTGTGCTGGGGAAAGTGACTTCGTCTCTCGGAGAAGCAGTTGACTCCTCTGGAAAATGGGAATATTACTACCAAATAGGTGAGGGAAATGTAACTTACTAAATAAATGTAAAGTTCCTAGCACAATGCTTGTACATGGTCCTGTTCATAAAATGGTTGAAATAGATACTGCATAATATATGTCATAATCGATGTAAGGCACAAGCCAAGTCACACATCTTGCCAATGTCCAGATTCTCATTAGGGACACTGGTTCTTCCTGCCCTTCGGATTGGTAAGATTTCCCAGGATCCTTTCAATAATGCCCCTGTGTATGAAGTTAGCACAAGTGTGTGTGTGTTTTTCTCTCTGAAATCCAAAGAGTCTCGGGTAGGATAAGCATTTCTCTGAAAGTAATATCTCCAAATTAGGCTGCAATTGATTTAAGTTTTTATTGTCAATTCAGAAGAGACGATGGAGGTGGGCATAGGGAACACTAGCCTAATTTTTACATTAATTTTTATTGAAGTATCATATAGAGAAATGAGCACAAATCATAAGCATACATATGAATGAGTTTTCACAAAGAGAACATGTCCATTAACCAGTACCCGCCTCAGGAATGAGAACATTTTAAGCAGTTCCTTCGCCGCTTGTGCCCCTTACGTCACACTTCTCCCCCACCCCCCAGAAGGAACCATTATCTTGATTTCTAGCAGCATGGATTACTTCTGCCTGTTATCTGACTTTATATAAATGGGGGAAAAGAGTGGCACTTTCCATTTATCCCTTCCAGATACCTGGCAGTTGTACCTGACACATGACTCTCTGAGGAAGCCCCAATGCCAATCCTTTTTTACCAGTAGCAAAGCTGGAGCTCAAATTTTGAAAGAGAAGTGTGAGCACATTCCTAGAATTTTCTTCTTGCACATCAGCTATTAATCGGAGCTAACCCAGGGGTGTGTGAATCCTGCTAGGGGCCACTGATCCAGAATACAAGGTCAGACAGCCCCTTCCTCTGTTCTTTTCACAAAGGACACCACCAAGCACTGGACAAGAAAATGGCAGGACCTGAAAAAACAAACAAATCCAGGCCATTTGATTTTCCAGCAGCAAAATTTTAGACTTTTTCCCCTTAAGAAAAATCTTATTATTCTTATTATTCCTGAAATAGATTATACTTTACTTTCTCATGGGCAACCAAATGCTTTGTTTTCATTTCACTAGGACATTGGGTACCTATTATGTGCTGAACATTGCGATAGGTGTGAGGTCCTATCTCCCAGTGGCATTAAGTACATTCACATTGTTGTACAATCATCACCACCATCCATATCTAGAACTTTTTCATCTTCCCAAACTGAGACTCTGTACCAATTAAACACTAACTCTCCATTCCCTACCTCCCCAGCCCTGGCAACCACTATTCTACTTGCTGTCTCTATGAATTTGACTATTTGAGGCACCTCATGTAAGTGGAATCATACAACATTTGTTATTTTGCATTAAATTAATTTCACCTAGTGCAATGTCTTCAAATATATATAGAATTTCATTGCTTTTTAAGGCTGAATGATATTCCATTGTGTATGTGTGTGTATATGTATATATATACATATACACACACACACACCATATTTTGCTTACCCATTTCTCTGTTGATGGACATTTGAGTTGGTTCCACCTTTTGACTACTGGGAAAAATGGTGCTGTGAACATGGGTGTACAGATATCTCTTTGAGTCTCTGCTTTTAATTCTATTGGTTATATACCTGAAAGTGGAGTTGCTGGATCATACGGTAATTCTGTTTAATTTTTTGAGGCACCACCACACCATTTTCCACAGTGATGTGCACAATGATTGCACCATTTTACATTCCCACCGGCAATGAACAAGCTCTCTTATTTCTTCACATCCTGGCCAATACTTGCTATTTCCTGGGTTTTAAAAAATGTGGATTCTTGTCTTGCTGTGCAGCTCCTTGCTCTGCTGTTCACAGGCCATGTGACCTTGGCCCAATCACTTGCTATTTTACTCTATTTTATACTTTTTGCGGGTGTCTGGCTCCAATGATGGAGGGGGACATGTGTCCTCCAGTCAGAGGTCTTCTGTACTTTATAATACTTTCCTTTTAAAAACCAATGTTTATTGCAAGTTCTATGAGCCAGACACAAACACTTATAGTCTGGCAAAGCACTTACCACAGTGTACGGTGATTTGTCTCTTTACATGACTGTCCACCTGTGATTTTTCTCAAGTGCAGGGAGGCTTCATTCATGTGTGAGCTCCGGCCCCTGGTACACTGTCTGGCACAGAGTGAACAAGCACTCAGTACATGTTTGGTGAAAGAATAAATGAGTCTCAGTGGTAAATGGGGATCCTAGCAGACACTGCTAGTGCTCCAGCCAGCCCCCTGGGCATTTACCTCCCCACTTAGGCTGCTTGCTGAAGACCCCTGTGATTCTATCTGAGGTCTCCTGGCCTTGGGAGAACACTGGCTTCAAGAGCAAGGAAGGCTGGAAATGCCAGAGAGTTAATGCCCCCAAAGCTGCCCTCGATGAAGGATGTATGGGGAGTTGGCGGATAAACTCCAGTTTCTTCAGCCTCTGGTTGGAATAACTGGGGTCTCTATACCATCTCTCTGAGTCTTCTGGTAGATAGTGGTAACCAGCCTAATTCCACACCTTGTATAGAAACAGAGTGGAACAGTGAGGCAGGAAGGAAAAATCCCCTCCCCATCTCCCTACTCTCTTTCTGTGCTTTCTGGGATCACCTCCCAAATAAACTGCATGCACTTAGCTCCCTGCCTCAGGGTTTGCTTCTGGGGGAGCCCAAACCTTGTTTACCTTGAAAACTGTTGTGATAGTAAAATGACAAACACAATGTCCTCCAGTAAAGGACTTTGAGTTCTCAAAATGTAAGAAGTATTACTCTTGGAATGAGTAATACCTCTTGAGAGGAATGTGGTTGAATAATGGCCCCTGAAGATGTCCCAGTTCTAATCCTCCAACCTGGGAATGTTCCTTTACGTGGCAAAAGGGACTTTTGTGGAAGTGATTAATTAAAGGATCTTGAGGTGGGAAGATTATCTTGGATTATCCTGGGAGGCTCTAAATGCAACTCCAAGAGTGGTTATAAGAGGGAGGCAGAGGGCGATGTGACACAGAATAAGAAGGCAGTGCTGCACTGCTGGCTTTGAAGATGGGGGCAGGGGCCATGCCATGCGCCAAGGATTGCAAGGACTGTCGCTTTAGAAGCTAGAAGGTGAGAAAAATGGGTTCTTCCTTAAGGGTACTGCTTTTGGACTTCTGACCTCCGTAAGAGAATGGATGTGTGCTATTTTAGGCCACCAATATGGTAATTTGTCACAGCAGCCATAGGAAACTAATTAATACAAGGAAGGTCTCCCTTATTGCCCCTAACCCAGTCCAGCAGGTGGCAGTGCGGGGAGAAGGGGAGGCAGTAATTCCCAGCGGCCTCCAAGGAATCCTGCTCATTTTTCAACCTGCTGCCCTCAAATAAAGGAAGACCAATCTGTGCTGTCTTCACCCCGCTGGAGGCCAGTCCTTAACCACGGACTCATGAGGACTT